ATCCTTGCTTATTTCGCCGATAGTGCTGGCGAATCGTGCTGGCTTCGGGCGATGCGTGCGGCTGTCTCGAGCATTGCGAATCCTGCGAGGCGCGGTGCTCTGCGAGCTTTGTGGGCCGCTGCTTGCTGGCCGCCTGTGCGTCTCTTTGCCATCAACAAGCGTGGCGATGACAAATGCTTTGTGTGCAAAGATGCAGTTGGCACGCATGCTCATCAGTGGTTTGGTTGCCCGGGGATGCTGCAGGAGTGCGACGAACAGGACAGTAGTTTCGTCCCTCCAGAGATCCTCGAACGCAGAGCCGAGATTATTGACCAGCACGCTAATGCCAATGGTGCTGCTGGGGTCGAGTGTTTCTACCTTTCCTATGGGCTTCCGCCCCTGCCGCCTTTCCCCCCCGACGTCGAGCCGTCCCTCGAAATCTGTGGTTGGGGGGACTGGTCTGGTACGTGGGGGAGGCGTATCTTCACGGACGGGTCTGGCCTGGCGTCGGGGGGGGCTGGTCTCACCCGCTGCGGATGGGCCGTTGTGGAGATTTCGGACAGCGGTCTCCCCCTCCGAGCCCTGTACGGCCCACTTCCAGGCCGGGTGCAAACAGTACCTCGAGCCGAGTATTATGCTGCGGCTAAGGGACTGGAGGTCGCCGCGAAGCCCGCCCATGTCATTAGTGATCATTTGTCACTTGTGCGTGCTGGTCAAAACTGGGGGCCTCACAATGAACATGCTTCCTCGGCTCATGCGAGTGTCTGGCGCAGAGCCCATGCCTTGTACCCCACTGGCCGCCCCACTTTTGAATGGACCCCTGCCCATAAGAAGCTGGCTGATGTTGTTGCCGACCCCGAGGCTAGCTTCTTAAACGTTGTGGGCAACAGTTGGGCAGATATGTTCGCCAAGTGGGGGGCTGCCAAGCACGCCGTGGCGGAAGTTTTAGTCGACTACCACAAGCGTAAGCTGAAGGAGGCGAAAGCCAACGCTAAGGTGTTCGCCTGGATGGTCCAGGTGGTGGCCCAGAAGTCGGCTGCTCTGTGCCATCGGTCCCTCGAGCCAACCTCGGTGGTAGTTCCACGGCGGCCACTGTCTCCTGTTGTGCAGTTGGTCCAGCATGAGTTTCATGTGAACGCCAGGACTGAGAAGCACCGCTGTGTGCGCTGCAATATGTTTGCCCGCACTCCCATGTCTCTCAAGTCTTCAAGGCTGCAGGAGTGCCGGCCCACGGCTATCTCTAAGGGGGCGGCGGAACGGTTTTTCTCCCTCACTCCTGATGTGTACCGCCCCTCTACGTCGGCCGCCGTCGCGCTCGCGATGCAAGCGGCCGACGAGGTTGGCATCGACCCTCAACCTCTTCCCCCCTCCCTTGATGGTTCGGCGGTGGAGGAGGAGGTCGCCTTTTACAGGGCCCGTGGCCATGAGGCCGAAAGTCACGGGCCCACCATCATTTGTCTCGAGTGCGGGGCCTATATTGTGGGCCAGGGCAGGAATCCGAAGCTCTTGGATGCCTGCAAGGGCCGCTCCAAAGTCGCCTCGACGAGGGCGAATGAGCGGTCCCAGGTCTCCCGCACTCTTCGTGGGCTGCACCCGCGAACTGGGGACCCTCTGGGCCTGGATGGCCGTGGCTCGCATGCGGGAGCCAGCGGCTCTGGAGATAAGGCCTCGTCTCACGATGGGCTTGCTCCTGAAGGGAGGGAATGGGAGGAGGAGAGGAGGAGGAGCGGAGGAGGAGGAGAGGCGGAGGAGGAGGAGGAGGAGAGGAGGAGGAGGAGGCGGAGGAGGAGGAGGAGGAGGGAAAAGGGAGGAGGAGGAGGAAGGCGGGAGGAGGAGGAGGAGGAGGAGGAGGAGGAGGAGGGAGGGAGGAGGAGGAGGAGGAGGAGGAGGAGGAGGAGGAGAGGATGGGGGGGGGGGAGGAGGAGGAGGAGGAGGAGGAGGAGAGGAGGCGGAGGAGGAAGGAGGGGGAGGGAGGAGGAGGAGGAGGAGGAGGAGGAGGAGGAGGAGGAGGAGGATGAGGAGGTGCAGGAGGACGGGTAGCCGATACCTGTGCAAATCTGCCGTCGCGCCCTCGAACTCGCCGGCCCCCCCGACGACGAGCACGGCGCCGTCGACCTGCGTCGCGGTCTGCCCCCACCTGGCCAGCCGCGGCACTTCCAGGAAGGAGGAGGAGGAGGAGGAGGAGGAGGAGAAGGAGGAGGAGGAGGAGAAGGAGGAGAAGAGGAGGAGAAGGAGGAGGAGGAGAAGAGGAGGAGAAGGAGAAGGAGGAGGATGAAGAGGAGAAGGAGAAGGATGAAGAGGAAGCAGTGAAGTAGGAGGATGAAGAGGAGGAGGAGGAGGAGGAGGAGGAGGAGGAGGAGGAGGAGGAGGAGGACGAGGAGCTGTCTCGACGAATGTGCCTTGCCCTCCGCTGGCTTTCACCGAGCTGCCGCCGGCGAGGCCGCCCTCGATTCGCTGGCCGCTCCGCGGGCCTTCCGCCGAGCTTCCGCCAGAGGGCGAGGCGTCGACTGGGCCACTGACTCCTGAGGGAAGGTCCCTCCGAGGCCACTCGAAGCCACCCAGAGCCTCATAGAATGGAAAGCCATACAAGACAACCCAAAGCCCAAACCTACACCGCATTGACACAAACTGTATTGCAGCAGCGCGTCGCAAGATAGTTGGAGGCAGGGAGAGGCCTGAGAGGTTGCCGAGACGCCCTCGATAGGCTATTGAAAGGCTATCGTGAGGGTGTTGAGAGGTTCCTGCGAGGGTTCTGGATTCTGGAAGGGTCCTGAGGGCTCCTGGTTTGATAGCATGCTGCGAATATCTCCGTTAGGGATACGCATGTTTAAAAGCTGTGTTGATACATAATGTAAACCAACCACACAATATCATGATCAACCCATGGCTCTTCAAAGGCTATCCGAAGGGTCCCGAGAGGCTCCTGAAAGGTTCGACGGGGTTCAGCGAGGGTCCTGCTGTTTAGAGGCTCCTGATTTGGGCGCATGCTATGCACATATCTAATCAAAACATAGGTGTGTATTCCAGGTACCTCCTCATGATATCCGCCGACCCGGCGTGTGAGCTTTTAGAAAAAAGCCTCAGCTTCAGCTCAGCTCTGCTTGGGGGGGGCGAAGGCGGGGTGGCTCTGCTGGAGACGGGGGGGGGAAGGGGGGGGGCGTCTGCTAAATTCCCTTCTCCCCCTGGGGGCCCACTTTGATATTGACTTGCCCATCCCGAATATGCGGGGGAGGGGCCTAGAGACCCCCCCCCGGGAGCCTGAGGGGGAGAGCCCCAGACTGGCGGCACTGGCTCGAGCCCACTCAAATATTCAGCAGGGGTGCTGTGAAAAACACATGGCTTGGTACAAATCTCGGGCTGATGCTGGCAGAGCCGCCCAATAGGCATCCTGTTCGGTAAGAACACTATCCGGTAACACAGCGGCGATGCGAACGCAACCGCTGGGCCCCCCCACACCTGGGAAGGGTTCCGGATCATTTTGTAAAAAATGCGGTTAACACCCGTGGTCAGTTCTGGGTTTCTCGAGGCGGTCGGCCACTGGGTGCCCTCTCTGCCTGGGGCTGTCACTGCCCCAGCGAAGCAGACCAAGAGCAGGAAGGGTGAAGAGGCGGGCCGAGGAGTAACGTGATAAGGTCTAGACACGGCCATGTGTACCGTCGTGTAGCTTACGCCTGGACGAAAGATGTAGCCCGCGTTGAGGCGAGCGTGCGCTTCCTGCACACATCGTGCGGCCATCTCCGGCGAAACGGCCGTTGGGCAACGGCTTCCTGGGGCTCCCCGTCCCCGCCTTGTCGGACTCCTTGGCGGTCCTCTCTTACCTTCACTGGCCCTCCCTAGCGTGAAACGCCGTTCGGAGAAAAACCTGCAGGATGAGAGGCCGACCCCGGGAGAAGGCCCAGGACTTCTGCTGGGGGCCCCGCGCTGCAAAAGCCAGATGGCGACATCCGAACCCCACCCCCCCAAGCCATTGATTCTCCTGAGTCGATGGGAGCGGGGTGGGGTCCAGGGCTCGGATTTCGCGACGTGCCCGACGAATTCCGAACACCACCCCCGCCGCCCGTCAGGGTACCCGTGTCGTGTTGATCGGCGCGGGCAGGGTTCGGCTCTCACCGCCGAAGAGTGAAGACATCGGGGACCCCTTCTAGAATTGGGCGCCCGAGTTATCCGGGGTAACTCGGGTCCGGGGTAAGGCGGGTTTGGATTCCCGAAAAACGAACCCGAGTTAGCCCTGACCCGAGTTACCCCTGATGATTCGGGGCTCAGGACGCCCGAAATATCCGGGGCAACTCGGGTCTGGGATAACTCGGGTTCGGACTCCCGAAAAACGAACCCGAGTTAGCCCTGACCCGAGTTACCCCTGATAATTCGGGGCTCTGATAGAACGCCCTGCCTGGGAGTCGGGACTTGTCCATGGTCCGCGATGCTCGGCCGGCACCACTCGAACTCCTCGCAGGCCAGCATGCGCACGGCCTCGGGGATCTGCGGGCTCGGGCCCACTCGGACCGAGGGCCAGCCGGGCTCTGCAGGGTCCTGCAAGATCCTGTAGGATCCTGCAGGATCCTGCGCCCAAGCCCGGGTCAATGCGACCCTGGCCCTGCAGGATCCTGCAAGATCCGGCGCTCTGACTGACCCCCGTTTGCATTGATCCCCGTCGCTTGACCCCTGAACGCCCGAGGGCGGCGAGATGCCGGGTGCGCACGCGCGCACTGGGAGCGGCGCGCGGCTGGCCTCGTGGACGGGATGGCCTCGAGCCAGGACGGCTACGACCAGAGATCCGATGCTGACTTTTTCGCAGCGCGGCCCACCCAAGGTCTGGACCCAGCCCTGGGGACAGGCTTCCCATCCTGAACTGCTGTTCCACATTCCTGGGGCCGGAAAGGGCCCCCAGAGGCCAGAAGAAACAGCCAAAGACCTTCAGGAGCGATTATTTAACGACGCGAGGAGGTCAAGGTGGACCACCTCCTCGCCCTAGCGGGCCTCCTCCTCCTCCTCCTCCTCCTCCTCCTCCACCTTCTCATCCTCCTCCTCGGGCTGGTCGGCCAGACGGCGGAGATGATCCGCTCGAAAGACATGGCCATTGGCAAGAGTCCGAGCGTGCCTCGCACCAAAGATTCGCCCATTTTGCTCGCGACGTCTGGAAGCAGACATACCGGTCAAGAAACATAATGCGAGTGCTGTCACACCGCCTGGCGAAGCACGTGCAGCAGGAACGAGGAAGGACGGAGCACTGAGAAGGGACGGAGACAGGGGAGAAGGCACATACCGGCCAACGGCGTAAAAAATCGGTTGAAACTGACGCTCTTCAAATTCGCGTTCGCCATCTCTCTCTCTCTCTCTCTCTCTCCCTCTCTATTCAAACTCGTGTTTCGCCAGGCTTCAGCTCGCGGCCGTAGCCGTCGAGCTTGAAGGCGTCCTGGAAGGCCTCGGCCTCGTCTGGCTCCCACTCGTCGAAGTTCATGATGCCGGCAAAGTCGGAGTCGCCAAAGTCGTCGAAGTCCGACGCGGTTTCCTTCTTCTTCATCTTCCTGGTCAGGTGCGGGTACTTCTCTGTGATGATGGACTGCCAGTGCATGGGCGGCAGGTCTGGGTGCTTCGCGGCCTCGTAGACACTGGGGGTGATCACGATCTCGCTGCCGGGGCCCGCCTGGGTCAGCTTGAGCACCGCCGCCTTGTTGTTGCCCGTGTCGAGGTAGTTTGGCGCGCTGAAGACGGTGACCACCTTCGGGTGGTCCCACCGGAACCCGTCCGCCTTGACCTCGTGGGAGCGGATGATGCACTGCAGGTTGTTGGCCTCGCAGAACGCCGCCGACACGTCCGGGCCGTACATGTAGACCCCCTTGGACTTGCGGTACGACGGGCCGTAGCCGCCGCCCCCGCGAGGGTCGCTCCAGAGGATGTCGATCAGCAGCCTCTCGTCGATCACGGCCTTGTCGGTGCTGGACGGCCCGATGCTGTTCTGGTAGGCGTCGGGGCTGACCTCCATGTTTCGGTCCACGGCCTCAGAGGCCTCCCAGGTGGGGTCCGAGTGGATGGGGTCGAAGGACGGCGCCGCACCGGCCACGCATCGGCGATGCATCGGCCACGCATCGGCGACGCGTCGTCGACACCGGCGATGCAGTGGCGACGTCCACGCGGAGGACATCGGGCCCCACACCGAGCCGCATCGAATCGATGCATCGGCGATGCGGCGCGATCCTTCGACCCCACCTGCTCGGGCCCCATCTGGGAGGCCTATAGAGGCCTGGATTGTGGCCAGGGTCGGCAGGTTCGCGTTCAGCGGGATCGAGTCGGTGGGATCGTGGGTCTGTCCTGGCATCCAGATCCGCGGGTCGGGCCCGCCGACGCCCGCGTGCAGGATCAGGACCTTGCTGTCGACCAGGTGCCCGAGGGGCAGGCGCCGGAAGGCCTCGGAGAAGAGGTCGAAGAGGTCGGTGCCGTACTTGGCCTCGCACTCGCCGCAGAAGCCGTAGATCATGTTTGCCTCCAGCATCTCGTGGTTGCCCCGGTTGATGCCCACGAACTGGGGGTCCTTCAGCTTCATGGCGAAGATGGACAAGACGACCTCGATGCTCCAGGAGCCGCGGTCCACCATGTCCCCGTTGAAGACGACGGGGTTGCTGGGGCCCGGCGGCCCGGTGATGCCGAGGGTGGTGAACAGGTCCCAGTACTGGCCGTGCGTGTCCCCGACGACGGACACGCTGCCGCCGCTCGGGATGCTCAGGGAGACGACGTTGGGCTCCTTCCCCAGGATGTCGATCACGTCCAGGACCATCAGCGTGGCGTCCTTCTTGGGCAGGCGCTTGTCGCTCTTCTGCATCTCCATCAGGTCCTTGATCCACTGGTCCGTGATGGAGCCCCTGCCCGTGTACCTGGGCCCGCTGTAGCCCGGAGGGTCGGGGAGGGCCATCGCCCTGCTCCGCTCGGCCGCGAGGTCGGCATCCGTGAAGCCGCTCTGGCGGGGGAACCACTCCGCCCGCATGCCCGTGCGGCCGCCGACCACCCGCTCTCCGCCTTTCGCGCCTAGCAGGGCGCCAACTGCGATCGGGGTCGATGCGAGAGGGCACGCGGGAGGACACATGACCCTTCCGAGGGCCACACTGCCACAGGAACGCAGGAGGCATGGGTCGCGAAGCGCAGGGCACAAGGGCACCCGTGATTTCGCAGAGCCGACCTGCTAATCAATCTCGACTCTCAGCTGCCCCAACACGCATCACCACATACGTAGCGTGTCGACACGGAGCCCAGCACGTAATCCGACTGACACCTCAGGTCCGGCGCGACACGTTCGCCAGAACGTGGACCAGCGCGTGACGAACTGAAACGCAGCGTCCTGACACGGACGTCTGGAGCACCGCAGCGTCCTGCTGGCCATCGCTCGGACGTCCATTCCCCGTGTTTTTTTTCGGTTTCGTGCGTGTTTTTTTTTTCCGCCCAATGATCAAGGATGCTCCTCGAGGGGGAGAAGGAGGAGGAGGAGGAGGAGGAGGAGGAGGAGGAGGAGGAGGAGGAGGAGGAGGGGGA